AAATCTCGAGTTTATTTAATTTTTCGTTTCCATTTTCTCTTCATGGATCTAAAGGTTAAAGGAGTAACAGAAGTAAATACGTAATCTAAGGATGAGAATGCATGAGCTCGATTGAAACCAGCATGGTAAGATTTTGCTTCTTAGGTTCATTGCAGTTAAGTCGACAAATTTTGTTTTTTCATTGTTCTTTCACGTCCTCTGATCGAAATTTCACTGCTATACCCCTGGTAATTTCTACTCATTTAAAATTACTGATCTAACTTTACATCACCCATGTTTTGCGTATTAGCTACTCAAAATCCGCTTGAATGGCCTGAGGCGGCCGCGCTCGCAAAATCGCGCCGGTTCCCACGCGTCCCGACGCCAAAACGCGCGTTGTCGTTAACGTGTTAATCTAAACACTGTTGAGTTCATATTCAGTGGGTGTTTCAAACATGGTTGCGATACAGAAGTTCTCCATAGTGAAATACAACATACGGAAATATTTTATTGGCTGTGAACATATAGCAATCGAAAAGGGTCATTATAGTATGCAAAAATGGTGAACGCGTTTTCATACAAAACAGCGTCAAATCCACAATAAATCGAAGAAATACGAATCAAAACGAAAACGACTAGCGACAGGCAGCGGATGACAACAACGAGTGTACTTGCGTACGAAAACATCACGTAGAATACCGTATTCAACTCATCTCCGCCTCAGAGTCAAATTCACAGTAGATCACAACGCATTGATGAATGTCAAATCAGTTACAAAACATAAAACTTGAACTGATTCTAGGCATGCGAAAAAATAGCATTAGTTTAATAATTACGTATGGGTTGAACCCACATAAGTTTAAGTCTAGACTACAGTTCTCTGCAGAGTTCAAGATGGGAGTGCGAGCAGCGTACAAGGACTGTCTGAGATTGACCGAAGCAGGAAGGCAACTATATGCATGGGCTCACATGCGCAGCACATCCCATCTCAGACCTGCAGAGGTGCTGCCGCAGCTGTATCTGAATACACAAGTGCGCTTGAATAATGCTATGACGGCACAATCGGCAAGTGTAGTGAAAGAATCGCGTAGGACCACCTTGTCAAGCAGAATGCATAAATAGTTGTCGTTTTTATGAGGACGAAAACGTCTTCTGCGTGGTTTCCGACGATGGGGTTGTTTCGCCGTTTGACTGAGGTGACTGCGCAAAACGACGGCTGTGAAGCCAGTTGTTGTAGACACGATGCCGTGCATCCTCCTTCAGATGTAGACAGATCTGCTCTCTGAAATATTAATTGAGAAACGTTGAACGTTGAACGTTGTGGACAGCCGACTGTAACCGGAAACCCGATTTTCCCGACCAAAAAAGCGCTTCACAGAGATAACCACGCGTTTCACAGTCCGCTTACGCATTCGTAGGGCGGAAGTGGTGTAGTGGCAAGTGGCGCGCTTACCACGCGAGCGGTCCGGGGATCGGGTCGTGAGTCGCCCGGGCCAACCAAGCCTTCCATCCCTCCGGGGTCGGTTAATTGGTACCAGACTTGTCTGGGAGGATAAAAACACTGACTTGTACATCGGCTGGCCCCCGCAAGTCATTGTATAGGCCACATCGCATTCAAACGCCACTACGAATGTATGTACAAATGGAAGTAGAATGCGTGCCGCATCCCAAAAAGGGATTGATCAACGGCAAATGCTTTATCGTAGGTGAGAGCAAGATGAGAACAGCACTTCGAATACGAGAACTGCTTATCCCTCACATGGTCTTCTTGGCTTCGTTCGGACAAGGAGATGGCAGTGGATGCACTCGTTACCAAGTTGAGGACATACACTTCGTCGCACTAGCGCTCAAAGGCTGACATTTGAGAATTCACCTCGCAGCAATAGAAGGTTTGAACCAATTGTCCTTATGCGACCTGGTTCACGCAGGTTCCAGAATCCGTGGCGCGAAACGACGGTTGCTCCCAAAGGCATACTCAGCGACCTAAGGTGGGATCTAATGGTACATACTCTACCACCATTATGTAACAGACACATTAGTTTGAAAATAAACACGCACCAGTCGCCTCCCATGACATGGTGCCAAAGCGCTTTACGATACATTCGAGCAGACCATTAACTCCGATTAACGGTTGACAGCAAACCGAGACTGAGGATGTAGTCCTTGCGGATCGAAAGTACGCGACAAGGAGGCCAGGGTTTTGTGACTTAACTTCCAGCTGCTTCTGCTGCTGGTCGTCATGCAACAGTCTGACGGGGACGGATTGTCTACATCCTTTCGTGTGTCGTCTAATTACACTCGTATGCGCTCAGCGTGCTTCAGTCGCAACCCTGTTCTCATTGCAGAAAAAAGGGACGGTTTGTCTTTCCATTTTCTTCGCCTGCGCTTCGCTTTACTTTTCTACGCCCTTTTCCAAGCGATGGAAAACGCAGACAAGAGCAGAAAATTGAACGGTTTGCAAGTGGCGCCAAGAAGAATTTTGGCTTACGAGGATCAGCGCGTGAACGTGGTTGTTCCTCACTGAACAGGCTTCGGAAAGAACCAAAGGTCAGAAGCAAAACATAACTGGGTTCAAGATTCAGCAGATGCCCAGGGCCTAGCGTGCAAAAAGGATTGGATTATGTTCAAAGGCTTCCCTTTCTGATAATGTCAGCTGTAGCAGAGTGGCTGTGGAGTGCGAGTATCGGAAACGGCAATAAGGCGTTTACATTAGTCCGAAGATGGTGTCATACTTCGCGATTAAAATCGCGATCAGTCACGAGTGAGGCGGGGCGCAGTTTGGGGCAGTGCCAGAATTACAGTTGGGAAGGGGCACCAATACGAAACAATACGGATCATTTACGACCCGTCTCACTCGCGAATACGTTCGCGTGCAATTGCAAAGTCTGACACCGAGAGGTGCATTATGCAAGCGATCTGCTGTAAGGATCGCCCAACCCGAGTAATCGCAACATTAAGGCAAACGTCGGATTTGATTTGAGCTCACCTGGATGGTGATGCGCGTGGAGTGTGAGGCTCGGCTGCTTTACGCTTCAACCACTCGCGGAATGCCGCCTCAGCCATCTCCTTCTTTTCTTCATCTTCCTCTGACGGCTTTGGACGCGTCACGCTCTGAAAAATTATTGGACTTGGTTGTTTGAAATAGCAAGTTGCTGATCTAATAGTGCAGTAGTGATTTCTGTTGTTCCTTTTGACTGGCATAAACTTCCAGTTACGATGGAGAACTTTCTAGATATCAAGTAATGCTTAGCGCCTCGCTACAACAACTGCTGCTATGGAATTCCTCAAATTACTTCAAATCAGTAAAAAAAATCCCAAGATAAAATACCACTATAATTTCCCATACTTGGTCACTGTACTCTTTCGACTGCTTCTCTTCTCATTTTTTTCCTGTTCCTGTGCTTCTGTAGTACAAGAGTACAGTCTGTAGTACAAGTAAAAATATACAAAATCTTCGTTGATTAAGAGGAATTTTACAATAATAGATCTACCAGCAAATTATGCGATTCAGTGCTCGCTGAGAAAATGCAACAGCACATTTGTTACATGCAAAGAAGCAGCCAGAAAAAATTTGTCTATATATAGTATTTCAATATTAGTTCCTTTCATGAGGAGTACGTCAGGAGATCTCGAATAGGACGGCAAAGCGCGATCATCGCACGCGGCACGTAATGTCTGCTTTATCTTCATTACAGCAATTACACGGCTAGACATAGTAATTACACAGCTACCTATGAATGAACCGTTCAGAAACTTATTTTGAATTGATTCTTGAAAAAAACTTCAAGTAGAAGGTAGTCCGAATACAACTGCAAATGCACATTCACATCTTAATTGCAAACTCGCAAATGCAAGCTTAAAAACCCCACCACGAAAAGCTGATTTCCTTCATTTTTTTTTCAGAAAAAGGTGGTATGCACATTTGCACATTTATTACGTGGTCTTCACATGTGTAAGTCAAAACGTTTCAGAAACAACAAGAAAGAAAAAAAATAAAAAAAACGCTGTAATCGATAAACGATGTAGTCCAGAAGAAAGGCTATTGAGTTATCAAGCAACGATTGAGATTAAGAGATACCGCTCTTTCGAATTTAAAGAAAGGCTGGAATTGCACGACACTTACTCATTTCCATATACTCCATTCCCGACGGAACGCGAAAAATCAAAGCCCAAGTAAACAGTGGGGTTGCCAGAAGACAAGCTTGAGCTTCTCATCTATAGTTCATGGCTGGACCAACTCACACAGAGCGTGACTCTCTAAACCAACTCATTTGTCCTGGGGACTGTAAACCATGATAATGTCACTCCTCCTTCACCTAAGATGGAACGGTTCTGGATGGAGTTTTTTGTTCTTTAATAGCCCACGAGGATGTTACTGTAGAAGGGTCTTAGTTCCCTAGCGAATAACTAGTTAGTTAAATTGTTTATCGATCGAACAAAATCAGTAGAATCATTTAGTAAGCACGCGCCGCAGCTTGTCGTCAACGTGATCCCACTGCGGACCGCGTGTGTTTCCAGCAGGCTATCACGCAAAAGGGATAGTTGATGCTTGATTTACTCAGCATTTTGCTAAATTACAAATTATTTAGTAAGCTTTTTCAAGCACACGAAATATCATATATTTAAGTACTAATAAAAATATCGCATATTAGGCTGGAACATAGCCATAATATCGTAGCGCTTGCATCAGGTATTTACAAACATTCGAAGAAAAAAGTAAAAATGATAATCATTAATTTTCTCTTCGTTATTGTTTACGACTTCTATTTCGCAGGAAATCACCGGGTTTAAGAAGGGCTTAGATTGGGAAAGATGTTGAGCCCATTTTGCAGTCTAAATTCCTTAAATTCCCGATTTGTATGGCATGAAGATGGTTCATCAGATAGTCTTTTTCACCTTTATCTGTACAAAAGAAGAAAAAAGAACCAGCTGTCGAAATGCCTATTTCTGCCGGCAGGATATTCCAAATCATGAGCAATATTTCTGAGTACAGCAACAGTATTCAAGAAAACGGCAAACAGGGTACTGTAGAGCGGAAAAAGTTCTTCCTAAAGAAATACGCGGTTTTCAGTGTAACACTTATGTCGACCAAATTTATACCCTCCAAAAAAAAACACTACGATATTGTTATCCAGGGCTAACAGAAGCGCAACATAAGCGGCTCTGGATAAAACAGACGGAAAGCCAACGAAAGTGTACCCCAAATAGCAGCCCACAATCGGTTAAGCAAAAGTGAAAACGGCGAAGGTATTTGGCAGGCATACTCTCTATTTAAAAGTTTTTTAGGGTCTATTCCAGTTAGGGGGGCATCATGATGCAGTTTTTCCAGAAAGCTAGGGTAACTCCGAGCCAGGGGGAGTGTAGCCAGTCTAGGGGGTGGGGGTGAGGGCAGTCACTTGACATGCGTGAAAAGCTGGAATGTTCGAGTTTACACTAGTTCGCCGAGAAACTGCATCATGATGCCCCCCTAACTGGAATAGATCCTTTTTTGTTCTGAAAAAATCACAAAATCAGGTCTTGGAGCAATTCGCAGGTGGTTATATAACTGGGTCCAGCAATATGGTACACATGCTGCGCACAACAAGCCATTTCGGGAGGAAGTGCTGACCCGGTCTTCTGACATAGGTAGAAATTTTTCTTGGGGAGCTAGAAGGACTTGTATAATAGCATCGAAACAAAAACTACTGGACTTTTGCCGTTCCAAGCTTTCAGGAAGCAGGTGAGTGACATTAATTGCTGTACATTCGGTTACTGTTCATGTTCGGTAGTTCATGGTGCTAGCCACCCTAGCAATAATGCTTGTAATAATCATTTTCTTTATGAAAAGCGGACCTACATATTCGACGCGTTTGAAAATTGTTCCCAAAGCAACAACCCCAGATAGGATTAGTGGGATAAAAGTGGTCGATAATGAAATTATGGAAGCTGAGTTGACTGAAAATAAAAGAAAAACCAAAGAAATAGCCAATGAAGCTTTGAAATAGAAATTCCCTTCCCCTTATAATGAGGAGAGGGTGTGGCCGGACGAGCTGCCCGAACTAGTTTGCTCGGCCGCATTTGCTGCTGGCTCGTGCCAGCAAGAAATGCGGCTGCAATCGCATATGCACCAATACAAACAAAGACATATGCACCAATACAAACAAAGAAATACGATAATCAAACGACTGTGCAATTAAAACCAACAAAAAACAGGCAGCATTCCTTTTAGCGCAGCCACAGTTAACACGCAATCGCGCAAGGACCACCAACCTACGATATCCAGGGCTAGCAAATGAGCGTGTAGGCAAAAAGACGGGTGGCACAACTACCAAACTCCCCATAGCGGCTTCACAAGGTAAGTTTCTGCCTCAGGGACACTTCATATGTACGTATCGATCAGGGCTCGTGCATAATTCACTCGTAGCACAAGTATAAATCCGCCTAGCGTTGCTTCTTTGAATGACATAAACTTAGTTGGAGGTGTAGCCATGAAAGTAGCATTTTCCTGGTCCTCGCACAACGAGTCTATTGGTCATAATTTTTTACCGATTTTTTCACCGCGGTACCTTCGAGGAACAATAAAATTCTACAATGAACACACAAGCCGGCACCAACTTGCATTAGGGGGAAAAATCAAAAATTAGAGATGTATCAGAGTTACGCACGTGAGTTCACCAGTGTGTTCAGGTCCTCAACGTAACCGCCTATTCTACAACGCATGTCTAGTTTACCACCCATAAGTTTCCCTACAGTATTAGATAAAAGCTACACTTCCTGCCAATTAGTCTGGTGCCCCTAAAATCAGATTGTGAGGGGTAGGGAATACCGAATAATTCAAAAATTCAAAAGTCAAAAATCTGACTTCTAGACTCGATCTGCAT